GGTGTTAAAGAGGACATCAACATGTTTTTTTGCTTCAAAGCCAAGTGATTTCTTTAATCAGGGCATTAACAACCTGATTGTAAGATGGAAAAGCATCATCGATAAGAATGGAGACTATTTCATATAATAAATGTTTTGTTTTGATATATGTAAGTTGTTTGGGTTTTTTCATCTAAAAATAAGCAACGTTAATTTCTTGACGACCTAATACTTTTTCTAGATAGTAGCCTTAATAATAACATTTAAATTGTTATCTTCAAAAACTCAAATCTTGTCTGGTAACTTCTTCCCTAGAATTTAAGCACTGGTTACAAATCTAGTCATATATCTTCATTATATTCCTTGCAGGTATTTAAAGAACTCTTAATAGGAAGCTTATTATTACAGGATCATTATCTGTTTTTGCATAGACATCCTTTACTGTGCATGTCACAAGGTTTTAATGACTTACATTCAAAATTTAATTAAACTACTTTTTGTTTATGTTATACTAATTAGTATAGCATACAATTGTAGCTAACAATCCATATTTTAATAGTATATAAGTTTTAAATTCTTAATTTTAGAAGGCAATATTTAAAAAAATCCTTAATTTCCCCTAATGTGAGAAATGTGACATAGCATTTTTCTAAGCATTCCCTCTTCTCTATTTTATTCACCACCCCTCCAATAAGTAAGACTCACTATAAAATTATCATTGCTCAGACAAACCATAATTTTTATAGCTTTCAATCTTGTTTGGTTACAGAGCTATCAGATAGAAAATCAGACCCCTCTTGCCACACCCACCTATCACATCCTCTCTTTCAGGATTTCTTAATAGTTCTCTCTTACTCTTAATACTATAATACATATAACCAATAGAAAACCAAGGCTTTCATCTATCAAATGATGTAATATATTTAAGTTTTTTTCTGAATGAAAAATTGTCATTTTCCCTGTTAGGAAAGATAATGACTGGCTTGGATGAATTTGTAACAGCTCTTGTCACATAGTTAGAAAGTCAGAAAAATTGTGATAGTTAGGGGAAATTGTTTGCTTTTTGCATGTTATTATTCTATGTTCTTTGGTGCAATATTTGATTAAATAAAGACTTGCTGCATTACTACCATTAGTATTTAAAAGTAGGGTTAAGTGTCATTGAAAATTGACAGCAAAAAAAAAAGACACAGGTAAGTACTTTATTTCTTGGTTTTTTTTTTTATTTATTATTATAAAAGTAACTAAAATGTACAAATAGTGAACTCTTTAGGTTAGTTAAGGTTAGATTAGGTAAAATATATAATAATAAAGTAAAAATGTTTCACGGGGCACGCATGCGAGTAGCTTGGAGTAGCTCATGGGTAATGTAATTTGAAAGCGTAATGTGAGCTCAACATTCCCCAAGTGATTTACAATTTATAATGGCATGAATAATAGTAGTTAGACAGGGTTCAAAGGGCAATAAGACAATAAAATGTAAGTATCCTAAGTTTAAAGCTAATTAGGATAAACAATCTAGTTTCATGTTACAATTTGAAGTCATTCTAGAAAGAAAAAAGGGTAATTTAGATTTTAGATTTTTTTGGTTTTGAGGTCAGTCAAATTGACCAACTTTATATAGAGTAAGGGTAGAGAAAATAACAGATAAAATATAAAGTTTTACTGAAAACTATCATTTGAAATATATTTAGGAGGTTTTAGAGATTACACATATGAAATTTGAGATTTCTGAAATGAAGAAAAATATTTTTAATCTTAAGATGAATATCACTTTGCACACAGACTAGTAAAAAATACTCAACATATTCGTAGAGAAATCTTTTCTTAGTTTATTAAAAATACTTCACTAAAAATATGATTTTTTGTATGTGAAAGACTTATAATGTTTACTTAAAGTCTGCCGAATTTTGTGAATATATACATACTATATTAAAATTTAGTAGTATCAAAACTATAAAGACTTTAAACAAGTACATAGAGGTCATGAGTTCGGTAAAATCGACTGAGCCCATGTTGAAAGATTTAAGTGAGAGTAAATTAACAGTATATATAGGATCATCATCTGTATAACAATCTGATTTATTTCTTAAAAACATTTTGTGTTGATAAATCTTGTTTATGATACTAGCTTTCATTACATGTGTATTATCACATGTTCATGTGAAGTTGTTTTACATTGTTGTTTATAACTTTCTCTGATATTAGCTGAATTAGGAGACTATGACCCAGATGAACACTTTGGGAACTATGTTGCAGACTTCAAACTTCTCTTGAAACAAACAACTCGTATTGAGGAAAAAATAGCAGAAATACATCAGACTCAGTTGAGGTGTGTTTTGATTATATTCTGATGTTTGGTACTTTAATTTCAAAACTAACTACTACTTGTGTATATTCTAACTAGATTTAAACTAGTTTTCACCAATAATTTCAGTTTTTTTATCTTGTAGTTAATCATATCATGAACCATTAAGATTTTAATGTTAATAAATATTTGTTGTTTTTGAATTCTGTGTACTAACTGACAGTTTGTTGTTGTTGTGGTTTCTGTCATGAAATACCTATGTTGATTAATCAAATCTTCCTTTAGTATAAATGTGTTACTTTATCTCGGTGGAATGCTGTTATTGTGGTGAAAATGTCTTTGTTTGGCACTCACATATGTAGTTTTATATCTAGTTTAAAACTACTGTTTCTTGTATTTTTGTGTGTACGTAATATAAAATGGTTTGTCATAGTTATCGGAAGTAAAACAAATATCAAAGGTAAGTAGTTGCTGCTGTATTGTATTCTCTTTCCTTTACATGTGAAAATCTACTTAGAAGTCATGTGTTATTTATAACATATATACATACAAACGTTTATGTAATCATGTGTCTGTACATTTTTAATAGTATTTTACTAATATTTTATAGTAATTGTGCCTAAATAATAGAGCGAACGACTATTTTAGTCTCAAATATCTGTTGTTATTTTTTAGGTTATACAATGTATATGTGGTTTATATTTTTTACCTGTGAATAACAGGAATACTAGGGTGAGCTTAATAGCAAATTATCAAAAGTAAGCCAACTCTATAAACCATAACTAAAACCGTTTTTAAAACACCACTTGTGTGGTACTAAATATTTTGACTGACAAAAGCGAGGAATAATTTTAATGGTAACATCGTCAAGTAGGAGGCTTTGAACTGGAGTTATTTTTTATTTTTAAGAGAATGATGGAGTATTCTCGTACTTGAAAACAAAACAGTGGCTAATTACCAGGTGTTAGAATATTTGATATGTTTTATATTTGCTTCCACAATAAATCCTTGACTTAAAATTACATTTTGCCAATGTTCCCACTTCCAAGTTTGGAGTCATATTATCTGCTGGATCAATAATGGTTTCAACAAGGTTAATTTTCACTACACAAAACAAGGCTATTTGAATTGCAACACAATAAAGCTAACTGATATTGATAGGTAACACAAGTACACGAAATCTTGTCTATCTTATGGAGAGATGCCTAGCTGTATTAAACTCAGGTTAGTAATACAGTCAACATACATTCACCATCTTAATGGCAGTATCCAAGCTATATTAAAGGCAGTAGTTAACATCAAGTGAAATACTGTTGTGTAAGAAATTAATAAGGAAAGCCACATGATATGTTATCACGTTTTATATCTTATGATCAGTGGTCGGGTTCCAGCTGTTGCAGAGATGAACTTCTTACACAAAGCTTGTCAGCTGGATACGTATGGAATTGACCCTCATCCTGTAAAGGTAAGTAATGTGTAAGGTAGAATTGTTTGATACACATACAAGAGTCTCAAAGAATGAGTAATGGTAACTAGATGGTGAATTTGATATTTAAAAAATTTGTCCAAAAACTACATCAAGTTCTTTAATGCACTAATATTTTGTAGGTGAGCTCTTTGCTTTAAACAAAACATTACTCTTTGTTTTAATGTTGTGGTATTCTCAGACAAGTAACAGATAGGTCCACTTTTTAATGGGAATTATGATCGGTAAAATTGTGAAGTAAATTTAAATTTAGCTAAACAACTGCATTTTGAGCTTAAAAATAAATAGGCTGGACAAGTAATGTAAGGTGGAACATGATAATTATTATATGTAAAGCACAGAAATAAAACAGCATGTGAACTTGTGTGGACACTGGACAGTCACTTTCTTGCTGGATAAGGAAATCAAACAACACCTCTTACCTCATAAGGTGTCTTTCAGTTGATCGACTCAAACCAAGTAGAACTATATGTAGATCTATTCTGGTGCTCAGTACCAAACAGAAAACCCACAAGTAACAGGTGTCATCACATAATTGGTTGTTCTTTTACAGTATACAAAGGATTTAACCTGTAGATATCATCTACTAGGCCAGATAAGAACATTGCTGTCAATGACTTATGCTACATAATGTACAAAGTTGCAGGAATATCAGTGCAGGCAAAATAGATGCTACCTGCTAGGAAACGACAAAGAAACAGAGGACAAAATAACTCAGTGGTGTGTTTCTACCAAAACTGCAAAGAATCAGATTAAATTCACTTGTTCTTATCTGCAGTCAGGGTGCCATCAATTTTATATAGAACAATGTCAAACAAACTATCACTGATTGCTGTATAACAGTTCAGACTTGGATTCATATGTCAAGAGCATGTATCTCCAGTTTTGTGGTCTGATGTCCATTGAGACCACTTTGTGATAATGTGTACCTTGTGGCATTCACCTGTATTTACAGCAAGTTAATTGACCAGAATCTGTCACATGACTGAATGCCCTCTGAGATACTTAACATCACTTTGTTGTTTTTTTACCTTGACCTCTTCTATTAACAGTGCCTGTTTCGTGTATCTTCTGTAGTCTTGCACACAACTTTTACTGAAACATGGAGTAATGATACAATTTCTCGCATGAAATATCCTTAACCAGTCAAAGTTTTCATTTCTAAATGTTTATCATGTAGTATTTTAGTCCTAGGAGCCATAACTGTATTGACTGTATATATCAGTAAATTTATGATGTTATTTCCTTCATTCGTGCCAGTACTTACATGTTTAAAAATTCTCTTGATTACAATCTAGGATCACAAAGGAAGTCAACTGTACTTAGGAATTAATTATGCTGGAATTTCAACTTTCCTGGGTAGCCGAAAAACTCATTATTTCAAATGGTAAGGAAAATTTGGGCACTTGTAGCAGTTTTTAAAATGTAAGTATTCAGAGAAATTGCCACTCAAAGTTTATAACTATATAAGTTTATTTTTCAAGCAATTAGACCAGAAAAAGGATCAATAATGTGTCTGAACTGATACTACTTCAGATGATTTTTTGCAAATATATATATAAACATAATGCTGAATCTCATATATTAAATATATTTGTCTATTTGTGCAGTGTGCATGGTTACAGTTTTAATTCTCTCATTATGGGCATCCTTTTCTATACATTAAAAATTTAATTAAACTACTTTCTTATCATGGTATATGAAGAAGCTTGGCATGAAAACATAGCTAATAATCCAAGTTTTAACATTATATATGTTTAAGTACTTAATTTTATAAGGCAATATTAAAAAAATCCTCAATTTCCCATTAGTATGAGAATTGTGACATTTGCTGTCTAACATCCCCTCTTCTCTAATTTATTTACCACCCCTCCAAGGAGTACAAAATTTAATGTAAATTACTCATCATAATGTTATCATCCTCATGCAAAGCATAATTTTTATAGCCTTCAATCTTGTTTGGTTACATAGCCATAAAATAGAAAATCAAGCCCATCTGTCACATCTTCTCTTTCAGAAATTGCTAATAGTTCTCTCAAATGTTTAATAATATATTATTTATAACCAATATATAGAAAGCCAGAGTTTTAATCTATCAAATGATATATTATGTTGTTTTCTATACAGAGAATTGTCTAGTTTGCTTCCAATTCAAACTTTTTTCCCATGGGAAACATATCAACGAGCTTAACTGAATTTTTAATGGCTCTTGTCACATAGTTAGAAAGCCAGAAAAATTGTGATAGTTATAGGATGTTGTCTGATTTTTTGGATGTTATTATTTTGTGTTCGTTGATACATTATTTACTTAAATAAAAAGTTACATAGCATAGTAACACCAACAGTACAACAAAAGTAGGGTTAAGTTTCATCGACAGTTGACAGCAAAAAAAAAACTAAAAGAAGACTCAGATAAGTACTTTATTTCTTCTTTTTCCTGTGTATTATTTATTTATTATAAAAGTAACTACCATGTAAAAATCAGAAAATTTTCACAGGGTATGCTAGCGAGCAACTCACAAGTAGCCGGTGTACAAGTTCAAAGCTACTTAGGATAAACAAATGTAGTTTCATGTTACAAAAAAAAAAATTGAAACTAAATCTAAATTACCCTCTTTTTCTTTCTAAAATAACTTCATATTGTTTTTTTTTTGTGATTGTGAGGTTGGTCAAATTGTCCAATCTCGTATAGTTACAGTAGAGAAAATAACAAATAAAATATAAAATTTTTCCCAAAAAAACATTTGAAATTTATTTTGGAGGTTTTAAAGATTATGCAAATAAAATTTGAGTTTTTACAGATGAAGAAAAGTATTTTTAATCTTAACATGAAAAATCACTTTGGACTCTGAGCATTCAACACTTTGACTCCATATATTCAGGGAGAGTATTTTTAGTGAAAATACTTTATTAAAAACTCTGATTGTTAGTCTACAAATGACTCTTAATGCTTACTAAAAGCTTGTGAAATTTTGTGAAGATACACGAAACATATTAGAAGTTATAGTATGGAAACTCTAAGAATCAACGGAGCCCATAGTGAGAGAGTTAACCCACAGTCAACGTTGGGTGAATTTAAGATAAAAATCACTAGTTAGATTAAGCATAGTTCTAATGCCTTTCTTTGAGCTACTCCCACTGTGAAATTGTTTCAAATATAATCTGTTCTGTGTAATAATAATAAAACCTGGTTTTTCATCATGAGCTTTATTTTATGATTTAAATTTCTTGCTACAATTACATTGGATTTCTTTTTTTCACTTTATCATCAACTGTTGTGTGTTGATATAATATCTGTTTTAGGTAGCTTGCTTTGTTGAAGTTTGTGTTTACCTAGCTATAAAACGTTTTTCAGTTATTGTTTATAAGACATTGTAAGTTTACTACAAAACAGTTTACACGTGAATCTGGAGTTGAGGTTCTGTATGAAAATCCTTTGTACCAGCTTGCACATGTGCACGGTATAATATAGTAGTTTTAATGGTTTTGTTTCTGTGGAGCAACACAGTAATATAGTTGTTTGATTGTTTTGTTTCTGGTGGAGCAACACAGTAATATAGTAGTTTTAATGGTTTTGTTTCTGGTGGAGCAACACAGTAATATAGTTGTTTGATTGTTTTGTTTCTGGTGGAGCAACACAGTAATATAGTTGTTTGATTGTTTTGTTTCTGGTGGAGCAACACAGTAATTTAAACGTTTGATTGTTTTGTTTCTTGTGGAGCAACACAGTAATATAGTTGTTTGATTGTTTTGTTTCTGGTGGAGCAACACAGTAATATAGTTGTTTGATTGTTTTGTTTCTGGTGGAGCAACACAGTAATATAGTAGTTTTAATGGTTTTTGTTTCTGATGGAGCAACACAGTAGTATAGTTGTTTGATTGTTTTGTTTCTGGTGGA